TCCTTTAGCTTTTGCTTTTCTGGAAAATTCTTTATATCTTTTCTGAATGATAACTTTGCTGGTTAGAATAGTCTTGGTTGAAAATTTTTTTCTTTCACCACTTTGAATATATTGTGTCACTATACATTTAGTAGAACTAAATAATAGTAATATAACTAAGACAGATAGTATGTTAATACATTTTTAAAATGAGTTTTATTAGAATATTTTGAAAAAGGTAAGACCTGATAAGATTGCTCATCAGCCTTTTGGAAACTCATTTTCTTAGGCTTGTCCATGTTGCATGAAATAGTGTCCTCTTTATTTTTTCTCCCTGCTTCCCTTCCTCTCTCCCTCCCCTTTCTCCGTGATGACTTCTATATTTGTTTTTTAAGGCAAAGCCCCTCTTCTCTCTCCCAAGGTGAAGATCCATTTCTGTCAGACATCTCTCATGTCCTAAACTGAACTCACTCTTTTTTTTTTTTTAAATAGACCTGTTATCCCCTTCTGTTTTCCAGACTGGTGATGTATAGACTGACCCTACATTTCAGTTTGCCGAGAACAGACACTGTTTATACCTGTTGTCCTGGAATAATTAATATTAGTGCCCCTTTCACTTTTAAAATTGTCCTGGGTTGGATAACAAATCATGTGGTCACCATAGTTATCTGTCTGATGAAGGTCTGCCTTTTAAGAATCAGCACCTGGGCTTCCCTGGTGATGCAGTGGTTGAGAGTCCACCTGCCGATGCAGGGGACATGGGTTCGTGCCCCGGTCTGGGAAGATCCCACATGCCGCAGAGCGGCTGGGCCCGTGAGCCATGGCCGCTGAGCCTGCGCGTCCGGAGCCTGTGCTCTGCAATGGGAGAGGCCACAACAGTGAGAGGCCTGTCTATCGCAAAAAAAAAAAAAAAAAAAAGAATCAGCACCTAAGCCCATTGTTAAAGGACTTTGGGGTGACATATATTACATGTATCTTACTCTAGCCCCTTTTACTCTGAATGGCTCTCTCCACATTCCATTCCCCTGCCCTTTCCCAACACACTTGCCACTACTGCCTCCATTTACATCACCAGCTTTCTAGTTTGCTCTCTCTTCATCTCCAAATAATGATGTCCTGATATTTTAACTCTAGGATCCCCAGACTGATATGTTACCCTGCAAGTCTCAATGTGCCCCCTCCTTTCTGGCTTAATGCATTCAGACTGCTGTCCTGACCTCAGGATCTTTGTCTTGTGAATTGCTCCCAAGGATAAACCCAATAGTTAGGGCGGGGGTTTACATGTCTTAAGTAGTGTTATCCAGCACAATCCAACCAGTCTCCAATGCTGAAAGATTCAGAGAATTTTTTTTTTCTTTTTTAGCTCCTCAGTCAACTTTTCTAAACTTGGAATAATAAGGTCTACTTTATGGGATGTTATGAGGATTCATGACAGGAAGTACAGGAAAGTAATTAGCATAGTGTTAGTCAGCATTTGACTAAAGGAAGAAATAAAAATATAAATAATGTACTGTCCAGTTGTGGAGGAGGCTAAACTAAGCCTTTTGTATTTTATTTTAAAGTTCACTAGATTTTGGAACAGATATTGATACTGAGACAGCTGAACTGCTATTAATTATCTCTGAGAAACTGAAGAAGGGAAAATATACTACAAGATTAGACAATTGACTTTCAAAAGGGAGTATTAAATATGACCAAAAGCTGAATTTGATGTAAAAGTGTGTTTGACTGAATCTTAGGTAAGACTCTGGAAAAGATTATCAGTGGTTTGTGAGCATCCAGAAGAGGAAGCAGTGGCCACCAGGACTCAGCGTGGATGCGCCTGGACCACTGCATGCTAGACCAGCCTTGCTTCAAAGTGCAAATATGCTGGTACATCAGAGAACATATAGACAGAGATGTACTTGGGCTTTGGCATATTTTATAGGGCTTTTCACCACATATTTTGTGGGAAAAAAAAGTAAGGTTAATTAAGTGGATTAACATCTGATTATAATAAAAGAAATAATCAACAGATCACTGTGACCCTGAAGGGCTTGATAATGGAAGGCCAGAGGGCTCTGTCCTCTCTCCTGTCCTTTATGACATTTAACAATCACTTGTATGGAAAAAAAACTGTATATGTAAAACAAGTAATGCTTATCAAATCTGCTGCTGACACAAAATTGGGAGGTATAGTGAATATATTCTCTGACAGTACCAGGATCACAAAATATATGCTCAGGTGTTACCTCTTTTCAGGAAGGCTTCTGTGATAGTCCACGCTGTCCAATACCCAAGGGGTATTCGGGCCCCTCCTTTCTGTTCCCAAAAGAACTGTATGTATTCATCAATCTGTTACTGTACCTGCCTGCCTTGCAAGTCTTCCTATACACAGGCAGTTGGTCTTCTGTCTCTATCTTCCTAGTTTCTCTGACAGTGGGGAGAAGTCACCTGTGAATGTTTGCTTCCTTAAAGAATCAGTGATGACAACCTACATCGAGGCTGAAACTGTAACACTGAAATGTAATGAAAATAAATATAAATCCCTGCCCTTGGAGCATCCCCCAAAATGAAACAATCACAAGATAGTGAGTAGGTGGCTCTACTCATAGCATTCATGAAAAGGAAAAAGCGTGTTTAGCAAGAAAAAACTCACCTTAAAAGTCATATGATATCACTGCTTTACCCTTCCCCCTCCCAAATTCAAAGCTAAGGTGATCTTCATCTGCTTGAATGAAAGTATGTATCACCTAAAACAAAGGATATGAGAGTCCCTCTCTGAGCTAATTAGACCATACCTTGGGTACCATGTTAAAGTTCTGAACAATACATTTCAAGGAGGAAATCGACAAACAGGAAGGAACTTGTTCAGAGGAGAGCCGCCAGGATTATGAAGGTTCTGAAAATCTTAAAATAGTCATTCATTTCTTCAACTAATACACAGTTCAACAAATGTATATTAAGCATGTAGTATTTCCTAGACAGTATACTAGGTAGTGAATGGTAGAGAAAAAAAAAATCTCTACAAGCAATTGAAGGAAATAAAGATAACTTGTGAAAATAAACAAAGACCACCCAATAACAACAAATGAAGGCTATTTATTCAAAGATTTCTATAAAAAGGGAGTCAGCTATCACTTGCATTTGGCAGACTCAAAGACAGGCAGGAGAGTGGGAAGGCTTAACAGTGAAAAACCAGAAGGCTTCAGGTATGCCTCAGCCCTAGGCTGTCGACATGGGGAAGCTAGAGTCAGGATCGTTAGAAGCAGGGCCTCCTATGTGATTGGTTTGGGGAACATATTTGCCTTTCTCTGGTTGGTCCTGAGTTGGAAGTGGAGGCAAAATTGGGGAAGCTGTCAGTCATTGACCAAGTCTTGACCATTCTAGGACTGTTGCTGCAAAGGTTTTGGGTCAGAATCCATTACCGTATATTCTGGCATTGTCTGTTAGTATATTCAGTCTCAAATATTGAACATTGAGAAGACTCAGGGAGAATCTGGAGGTACACTGATAACTGTATTCAGCATATTGATAACTGTATTCAAGTATTTTATAGTCTACAGTGTTGAAAAGGCATTTGTTCTCAATGGTTACAGTGGATCAAATTAGGACCAGTGGATGAAAAAGTTCTTCAGTATAAGAAAGAACTTTTAAAAACCCACTTCTGTCTAGATGCAATCTCAGACAGTGGTTACCTGCTAAAGGAAAAGTTCAGACCTAGGCTGGGTCACCTCTTGGCAGTGATATTACAAAACAGATCACAAACTTTGGCATGCACCAAGTGGCATGTACTTGATACCTTTGTTACTAATGCAGAATCTGGGCTCTGTTCTAGATTTGCTGAATCTGATCAGTGGGGTATGATAGATGATTCTCTCCAGAAACATTTGTGGAAGGTATGCAAACACTGAATGGGTAGTTGGACTAGATGACTTGTAAAAGCCCTTCCACCTTGAAGGCTAATATTCTGACTTTTGCATATCATAGTCATAACCAGGAAATAAACACTTTGTTCACTTATTTAACAATACCAGTTGAGTAGCTCATATTATGCCACACTCTACTTTAGGCCTATATTTTAATTCTATTAGTATGGTACATTCCTATATGCCAAGGAGATAGTAATGGAAAAAGCTCGTTTGTTGACTCTTCAGAGATTTATTGAGCATCTGCTATGTGCTGGAGCACTGTGCTAAGCCTTGGGGAGATGGTGATGAACAAGACTGATGTAGTCCTTTTTCTTTCAGAGCTTACACCAGCAGAAAAAAATAGACAAAATGTATTTACAGTAAAGGGTGATACATGTTGTTATGAAATAAAAATGGTGTGAAAACCATTCTTTTCATTCTGTTTTTTTCTCCCACATCAGAACTCCAACCAAAATCCAATCAAGTTTTTTATAGAGGAACTAGTATTTCCTTTCCTCAGACTTGTTTTAGGTTTTAAGTAAAAATTGAGAGCCTTTGGGCCTTAGCCCAGGAATGTTAGAAGACTTAAGAACGGCATTTTGTACTTAAAACCTCTGTGGTGTCAAAACGGGTGAATCTGCTGTTGAATAAGCCAATCAAAGGGACATCTCTTGTTCAGGATGATTCTGGGTACTTGAGGAAGGGATTCTGGAAATTCTGAGTTCTTTGAGTTCAAATACCTATTTCTAAATGTATTGCAACAGAGCTAATTTGTACTACATTTTTCAAGCAAGTTCTTCTGCAAAACACCATGTCTTTTGCTGTGTGGTATACAGGAAGGAGCTTAATTAAGATGGGAAGCAGCCGTCTAAGATCTATTTCTGGCTCTTCCATTAATTAATGTGTGACCTTGATGTCGCTGGGCTTCAGTTTTTTAAAAATGCTAAATGATCCTTAATTAGCCCTAAAATTCTGATTTGGTGAAACTAAATGGAGGAAATGATGTCTTTTACACCTGCCTCTCCTGCCTTCCTCCCAGCTACGCAAATATATTGAAAGCCCTATCAGCACCATTGAATGGATACTGAAGTAACTTGCTTTTCTCATCTGGACATTTGTGTGTTCTTTAAGCTGAAGTCTGAGGCCTCAACATCTACCTGCTTATCCAGGCTGAATGACTGGATTTATACCAGGTCCTTGCGGAATGCTTCAGCTTCTATGAAGGAGAACCCTGCCCTGGGAGCACTTAGCAATCTCTCCAACTCTCGGTCTCTAATTCTAGTTATCATCAAGCGTCTTGTTTCAAACACAGTAGACCTTCCTAGACTCAAAATATTACCACTTTTCTGACTAATAGTATCCCCATTGTCTAAAATCTTACATTACTCTGCCCACACCTGCCCACTTAGATTCCTTCCAAAGAGATACCACCAGCCAGATCACACCAAGTTTCTCTCCCGAAGGAGCAGCAGTGTAGCCCAGATAGTACATTTGAATCTGGTCCTACCTAGCCTGGGCTTGTTCCTCTCTCCCTGGCAGGCACAATTGAAGCCCCAGCTGACCTGCCGTCAAACCTCCTCAACTTATGATAAGCACATAGGTATATGTATATTTACATGTAAGAGCATGGAATCATTTTTCATAATTAGAATTTTCCTTCGAATTAGCCCACTCTAAAATTAATTAATTAATTTATTATTTTTAAACTAACTTTCTTTATTGTGACCTTATTTCTGACGTAATCCACACAATATTTTTTCATTTTAGGACTCCGTTGTCTAAGTCAAAACTTTTGGGTCAGGGAGATCCATGCATTACCACCAGTACATAAGAGAAATGCAGGCAGTGACTTTATCAATATATTGCGTTATATTATGGCAGCAACTGTACTTTTTAAAATGCCTTTGAAAAGTATGTACACTGTTAGCTCTGAAATTAGCTTTTAGTTTTAATTTAAAACGTTAACCTCTGGTTTTCGGAATTCTTCCTATTTGAATAATTGAACAGTTTGAGGAAATAATGATCAAGCTATTCAAAGCAAGACCATAATTTTTCTTGTTCTCACATTTCACTCTTTTTAAATGTATTTTACTTTTCTACAATTGCCAGAGTTTCTCCTTGTGAGGCTGAGCTTCAGGAATTAATGGAACAGATTGACATCATGGTAAACAACAAAAAACTGGATTGGGAAAGGAAGATGCGGGCTCTGGAGACACGATTAGATCTTCGGGATCAAGAGTTGGCAAGTGCACAAACTTGTTTAGAACAGAAAGGTCAAGAGGTACTGCAGAGATGTGTTAATAAATTGTTAATTCCTCAGACTGTTATAAATAGTATTTGTCCTGTCCAAATATATTTTTCATTACACATACTTTTTATCAGGCATCAGCAATAGTATTTATAGCTTGAAATTCTGTCACAGTGTGCTAAATGTATTCTATCAAATAAGCGGCAAACAGAGCTTAAACTGGTAGTAATTTGCCAATGCAGACAGAAATAGAGTCTAGTCAATGTCATCTAGGAAAGTGAACAAACATTCAATATGTATGTGAAATAAATGCTGTTTGCAAGCAAAGATGTCCGTGCCTTTGCTGCTGTAGAAACAAAGTAGTCAACAAAGCTGTGCCTTTGGATGAGGCAGAGTTCAGGAACATTTGCCTTTTCTCATCTGCTAGAAGAATCTTTCCTAAAAGAAGTAAAAGGTAAAGCCTTGATTGCAGAACAAGAGAGAAAACAGTTTGGTGAAGGGAGTGTGTGTGTACCTGGGCGCCCACTTGGGAGGAATGCCCTGGGCCCCGGTGAAGGTGCTTGTGGCCAAGCTGGTGATGGTAGAAGGAGGTCTGAGTGCTCTCGGGCCTGCAGAGGAGTTCAGGAAAGGCATACGCTTCACCTAATGTGGACTTTCATGTCTGTGAATTTTTCTTTGGGGTGAGGCATAAGAAACATGTTTACTGATCACATGCTAATAACTAAAACATCAAGTCAACTTGTTCAGTGGCCGTTTTTCTACCTCTAATGGCCTCTCAATGGAACTTAGTTTTTTGTCATGGTTAACTAAGTTAATGTTTGGCCTAGTTAGTTATCAATAGAGGCAGGTCATAAGACCTGGCACACGGAAGGGACTATTTTCTCATTTTTGTACCTGTCACAATACAGATGTGCGAGCAGGGGCCTCGCCTACTTTTTAAGCGGACAAATTCTGTAAGCCAAATCCCTAAGGACTCCTCTTAGACATTTTTCTTTTTCTTTTTAATTTGTTAGTCCTTATAAAAATGTAACAATTATTCCACAACACCACTAAAACAGAGCTCCCATTGAAGGTAGTAGCACCTAAAATAAAGGCTGAAGTGTGTCTGCAGGGGTTCTGCCCCAGGAACGATGACATAAGCCTCCCAAAAAGATAATGCGAAGTAAATTTTAAATCTTGCTTTAGAATGTGCCGGTGAGAAGGATCTTTTGTCAAACATCCATACCATACTGTCTTAATGTGTACCCAGTGGAATAGTGCTAGCTACATTTGGTTTCTGTGAATTTAATTATTAATAACTATTCTAAGAACCACAGTACAAATATTTATTCTTGGTTTGGTACAGCAGTTTTATGTGAACTGTACTCCTCTTTTGTACATTTTCTGATTTTGTCAGGCAAAATTTAGAAAAATTAAATTTTATTCTTAATTCAGGTGGGGTTACTTAGACAGAAGTTGGACAGTTTGGAAAAATGTAACTTAGCAATGACTCAGAATTACGAAGGACAACTACAAACCCTAAAAGCTCAAGTAAGGAAACTTATTACAATTTAATATTATATGTTTTGGTATATGTTTTGACCTATAAAATTGTGTTAATTTTGTTAAAATGAATTATTTTTAGTACAAGCAAAAGTTCTAGTATTTCAACTACAGGTTATATGTTTGGCCCTGTGTTTCATTGTTTTATGTGTATTGATTTTGTCTCTTTTATTAGATTGTCAGCCCTGTATCCCTTTAACTCTTAGCACAGTGCTAGACTAATGGCTTTCTATTTATCAAGTGATTAGTAGGTTAATTATATCATGATAATTAGCTTTGTGAACAACAACAACAAAGTATTATCTTTTGTAGTCACTACTTCCTAATAGGGGTGTCCTTTCTTCTATGGCAATTTAAAATATGGAGGTTTGCTATTATGAAATAGATATTTGAAAGAACAAAACTGGTCTTTATTGCTTTATTACTGGTAGGGCTGTTTCATAAATGAGAGGGCTTCTGCATATATGATGAGAGGGATACTGATTTCTTTCTGATTTATCCCTATATTATACTCCCCACTGTGCTAGGAAGCAAAAAGTCTTCTCTTTCTTCCCACAGGTGACACATAGGGCAATAAGCATCTGAGCATCTCAGGTCTCATAGGTACTGTATCCTTGCTTCACTTAGTAAATTAATCAATGGGAAATATGGTTTGATTATGAATTTTACTTTACAACCAGCTTTCTCTGGAGTGCAGAGATTTCACAGATGATAATATAGTTAAAAGAGCCCAAAGAAGTTAAAGTTCCTCCTTATGTACCATTTTAGGGAGGTGATCAGCCATTACAATAGGAATATGAAGCACTTGATTCCACTTAATGGGTATGATCTTACAAGACTAGCTCTTAAGTCTACCTAGATATTTTGCCTGCAATTTAAATAGCTGCTGCTAGATGGTAGCTTGAATTACAAAACTTTATATGGGTTTTCCTAGTTAAGACTCTAAGCATTTAACACTTAAGTCAATCAACCTTACTTTTTCTATAAAGATGAAGCTCTAACATAGCAACATAAATATTGAATCCCTATAATTTTTCAGTATAAACAAAGAGATCACAACCTGGAATAAGTTTGAAAAAATACAGAAATCTAGATACAAGTTAAGTACCATCTCTAAATTATATTTAACGAGTTCAGCCGTAGCTTACCAGATCTTTAATTTCTGGATTTCTTTTTCATGTCTGTTGTTAAAAAGTTTTGGGCTTGTTTACAGGCACTGAGCAGTCATTTAATATATGAATCCTTGCCATTTGATGCTTTGCAGCTCTATTTTATTACTCAGCTGCCAGCTAGCCAACAAATGTCTTTACGGCACTTTTCACAAAAATTTGTTCTGTGTACTAACACTGAGAGCTTAGGAAATGCTATTTACTCTTCCTCTTCTCCTGGACATTCACAGTGCATAGTAGCATATTACAGGCTGTGAGAAGTCTTGCTTTGAAAACATCCATTTAGCCCTTTTAATCCATCATTTTTCAAACATATTTGACCATGGAACCCTTTTGTTTTTTAAACTAAAACCAACTAACACCATAGCACAGCTACAATGTAAACACCATAAACAGGTATTTCATAGGATACACTTTGGAAACACTACATCGTTGTTGAGAGAACAGCCATAATGCTTCCGCTGCAGTTTTCTGCTTCTCTTTTCTTCTCTGGTTAAAAGAAAGGAAAGGAGAGAGTTAGGGGGGGGAAGGCAGAAGAGAAGGAAGAGGAAAGGAGGGAAAAAGACAGAGAGAAAAAGAAAAGTACTATGTATTTGACTTGGTTTGCATAATAACTAGTAATATGTCATTTTTCTAACCAGAAAGTGATATCTTGTGGCAAACATGCTTTTGTTGCTGCTGGCTCACTCTACTGCTTCTTTCTTTGAAATTCCTCATTTCTTTACAATCTTATTTTCCTAAAATTTCTTAAGGGTACATTTTACCACACTCTGCCTTAAAAAACTCAACTCTGTCAAAACTTTCTTGTAGAAATTGCTTCCTTTTATAAAATGGGATGTTTTCTTTTCCTTCTAACCATTATAAAACTATAATTATATATATATTTGAGATTTCTACTTCTGGAAAGATGGAGTCAATGTACTTTCCCCTATTCTTCCTGCTAAATGGAACTAGAAATCCTGGGCATTATTTATAAAACAATAAGAAGACTCTGAGAAGTGGAGAGGAAAGACAGACCAACTAGGACCTTGGGACCCAAGGAACAACATGGTGGTGAGTTCCTGGAATTTCTTTTTACCTCTTATATCCCAGACTGGATAACAGAGAAGCCAGCAACCCAGACACTCCAGTGGGCACAATCAAACAAAAAGAGCCCCAAGGAAAGCCTGCTGCCTACAAGTGAAAAACCAGAAGAACAGACAACCTACCAAGATTAAACACTTTTAGATAATAACTGCTTGACACTAGCCAAAGGCCACAGAATAAGACTATGGCTGCAAACCCACTTCACCAGCAGAGACTGAGTGGACAGCCTCGGTTCCACCCTTACTATCTATAATGAGGTAGCTCAGGCCCCAACCTGGATGGAGTCAGAGAAGACTGAGTGGAAATCCAGGAGTTTCATCGCCACGGGGTGTCAACAAGGCCCTCCCCAGCCCATGGTGTCAGTGGAGACCATGTGGAGAGCCTGGACTTCTCTGGCCATCTGGTGGTGATGAGGCAGCCCTCCTCCTCTTCTCTGGAATGGTATCCAAGGAAGCCTAATGAGGAGTCAGGACATTCACCACCTCTCCATAGTAACAGGGCTACGCCCCTCACTACAGCATCATTGAAGGCCATGTGAGAAGCAGTAACAAGGCACCTATGCCCCTCCAATCAAAGTGTTGTCAGTGGAAAATGTGGGGAGGCTGAACTCTCACTCCCACTCAGCAGTAATGAGGAATACCTCCTCCCAGTTACCAGCTGAGGCCAAGTTAAGACCTGAACTTTCCCTGCCAGCTGACAGCAACGAGGCAGCATTCTATTTTTCCCTACTGGGATGTTGTCAGAAAAGGACTGCTAAAACACAATATTTAAATAAAATCTAGAGTCATGTAACACAATACCCAAAAATGGCCTCAGTTAAAAAATCGCTCATCACACCGAAGACAAGGAAAATCTCAACTTGAATGAGAATAGGCAATCAAGAGACACCAACACTGAGTTGATATAGGTGTTAGAATTATCTGACAAGGAGTTTAAAGCAGCTATTATAAAAATGCTTCAGTGAGCAATTACAAACATCCCTGAAACAAATTAAATTAGAACGTTTTAGCAAAGAAATAAAACTAAAGAGCAAGCAGTTAGAAATTTTATAACTGAAAAATACAATAACCAAACTAAAAAAATTCAATGGATAAGCTCAAAAGCAGAATGGAGAGGACAGAGGACATAATCAGTGAACTTGAACATAGCAAAATAGAAATTACCCAATCTGAATAACAGAGAGAAAACAGACTAAAAGAAAATGAACCTCAAGGACCTGTAGTATTATTACAAAAGGTTGAAAAATTGTATCATCAGAGTCCCAGAAAAGAGGAGAAAAAAGGGTAGGACTGAAAAAGTATTCAAAGAAGTAATGACTGAAAAGTTTCAAAACCTGGCAAAAGATGTAAATCTACAGATTCAAGAGGCTGTGTGACACTCAAATATGATAAATCCAAACAAATCTACACCAAGACACATCATGGTCAAAGTTCTGAAAACTAAGACAAAGTCTTGGAAACAGGAAGAGAGAAATAACACTTTGCCTATGTAGAAAAGCCAATTCAGGTAATGGATTTCTTATCAGAGACCACGGAGGCCAGAAGGAAGTGGAATGTTTTTCAATTGCTGAAAGAGAAAAAGTGTCAACCCAGAATTCCATGTTCAGAGAAAATATCCTTAAGAATCAAGAGGAAATTGAGAAATTCTCAAATGAAGGAAAACTAAGAGATTTTGTCAGTAATAGATCTGCCCTAAAAGGATAGCCAAAGGAAGTTCTCTTGGTAGAAAGGAAATGATAAAGACTTTTGAGACATCAGGAAGGAAGAAAAAAAATGGAAAAAGTGAGAACATGGGTAAATGCAATAGACTTTACTTCTCTTGAGTTTTCTATTGATAAATTGTTTGACAGCTGAAGCAAAAATTATAACAGTGTCTAAAGTGATTCTTAATGTATATTGAGAAATTTCTTAAAGACAATAATGTTAGAAATGGGTCATGGCAAAGGGACATAAAGAGAACTAAGATGCTGCACTTCACTTGAACTGGTAAAATGTTGACACCAGTAGATTGTAATAAGCTATGTATCTATAATATTACACCTAGAGCAATAACTAAAAATGCTATACAAAGAAATACATTCAAAAATACTATAGATAAATCAAAATGGAATTCTAAAAAATGTTCAAAGAACCCAGAGGAAGTCAGGAAAGCTAAAACAGAGAAAACAAAACCTGGATAACAAACAGAAAACAAATAAATGTCAGGCTTAAACCCTAACATAATAATAATTACATTAAATGAAAATGGTCTAAATACACGTGTTAAAAGATAGAGATTTACAGAGTAAATTTTAAAAATGACCAAACTATATGCTGTGTTCCAGAAACTCACTTCAAATATAACTACATATGTAAATTGAAAGTAAAAAATAGAAAAAACAAAAAAAGATAGAAAAATATATACCCTACAAATATTAATCAAAAGAGAGCAGAAGTGGTGCCAAAATAATTCAATGGAGAAAAACTAGTCTTTTCAACAGTGACAGAACAACTGGATATCCACATGAAAAAGAATTAAGTTCAACCCTTACCACAGACAAAAATTAACTCAAAATGGATCAAAGACCTAAATATAAAAACTAAATCTGTAAAACTCTTAGAAGAAAACATAGGAGTAAATCCTCATGATTTTGGATTAAGCAATAGTTTCTTAGATTTGGCACCAAAAGCACCAAAAGAAAAATTAGGTAAACTTGATTTCATGAAAATTTTAAAAACCTTTGTGCTTCAGAGCACACCAAAAGAAAGTGAAAAGACAACCGACAAAATGGGAGAAAACATTTGCAAATCATATATTTGATAAGGGACTAGTGTCCATAATTTAAAAAAAAAAACTCTTACTAGTCAACAGTAAAAAGAAGACCAAATTTTAAAATGGGCATAGGTATAAATAGGCATTTCTCCAAAGGAGATAAATAAATGACCAATAAGCACATGAAAAAGTGCTGAACATCATTAGTCATTAGGGAAATGCAAATCAAAACCATAATGAGATACCCCTTCACACCTGCTAATAGCTATAACCAAATGATAGATAACAGCAAATGTTTGTGAGGATATGGAGAAATTGGAATCCTATACATTACCACTGGAAATGAAAAATGGTGCAGCCACTTTGGAAAACTGTTTGGCAGTTCCTTAAAAAGTTAAACTTAGAGTTTCCATGTGACCCAGCTATTCTACTCCTAGGTATATACCCAAGAGAAATTAAAACATATATCCACACAAAAACTTGTACACAGATGTTCATAGTAGCATTTTTCCATAATATCCAAAAAGTGGAAACAATCCAAGTGTCCATCAATTGATGAATGGATAAACAAAATGTGGTATATCCATGCAATGAAATATTATTCAGCCATTAAAAGGAATGAAATATTGATACATGCTACAACATGGATGAACCTTGAAAACATTATGCTAAGTGAAAGAAACCAGACACAAAAGACTACATGTTGTATGACTCCATTAATATGAAATGATCAGAATAGGCAAATCTATAGAAACAGAAAGTAGATTAGTTGTTGCCAGGCCTTGGGGAAGGAGGAAATGTGTAGTCCCTGTTAACAGATATAGGGTTTCTAACAGAGGTGATGAAAATATTCTGAAATTAGGTAGTGTGATAGTTATACAACTATGAATATACTAGAAACCAATGAAGTATATACTCTAAAGGGTGAATTTTATAGTAGGTGAATTATATATCAATTTTAAAAACAATGTGAGAAGGAAAAAGGAAGCAGCAATGACTACATTACTGTCAGATAAAGTAGACACAATTGTTCACAGCTTTACTTATAATAGTCAAAAACTGGGAGCAACCAAAAACGTCTCAATACGTGAATGGTCAAACTGTGGTTACATCCATACCATGGAATAATACTGAACAATAAAAAGGAATGAACTATTGATACACTCTTGCACATATTGTACTGACATCAAGTTCCTGGGTTTGATACTGTACTATATAGTTCAATAAGGTGTAAATATTTGGGGAAACTGGATGAAGAGGACCCAGAACCTCTCTGTAATATCTTTGCAACTTCCTCTGAATCTATACTTATTTCAAGATAAAAAATAAAAACAAAAAAACTTGTTAAGTTATTTAGAAATTTCCTATCAACAGATGTTGATAGACCATGACACTTATAATCAATTACTTGAAGGTAGAAGCAAGAAAAAAAATAATACAGAGTCTAAGTTATAACAAGAATTACTGGTAAGAAAAAGATCAAGCTTGATATTTAATTTTATTTAAACTTATATCAACATGAATAAGTGTATGTTGTTTGTATCTTTTAAATTAAGTCCTTAGTTTTCTTAAATGGAGTATAAGTTGGTTATTTTATAGATTGAGTTACTGAAATTAAAATTGTCAACACAAGATGTCACTAAATAAAAATAAGAAAAAAACTTGCTTGTTTTAAATTTTGAGCCTTGCTACATATGGTTAAGACAAAACTGAACAAAACATTTTATCAAGTGAATCGCTGTTTAACTGTGCAGTTAATGAACTTCCAAATTTACATGAAAGCTGAATTGCGTTCAGCTTCAATAATTTAGTTTTAATAACTAGTTCTATCTTCACTAATTGGAACATTTAAGCTTTACTGCATTTCCTAATCGTGACTTAAATTTTGAAAGAGGTACACAAGAAAAGAACTATCGTGAAATCGAGGTAGAAATAACCAATAGTAAAATGTTATCATTCTGTATTATTTACAGTTCTCCAAACTAACTAATAGCTTTGAAAAACTGAGATTACACCAGATGAAACAAAATAATTTTCGACAAAAAGAAGTACCACACGTCAAAGAAGAAATACCCTTTGAACTGAGCAATTTGAACCAGAAATTAGAGGTGAGCTATATTTTCTTAGTTTCTCCCTGTGTATTGAGATTGGTTTTTGTTGTTGCTGTTGAGGGCTATTTGTCTCTAGTGTACACAATGACATGTACCGCTGTGGTAACAAACTCCATTAGAAATCAACTTCTCATTGAATATATTTTCTTAGTGCACCTTCCCTTCAGGCACTTAGTGAATTAAAACATCACTTCGATTTATACATCTTTTATGTGTATCAGCATTTTTGGAGAGCAAAAAAAAAAGTTCAAAGGAACTGCAGATGTTGAGTGAAATTGAAGGACATCCCTGGGGTCACTTAAAGCGAGTGTCTAGTAAATCTTTTAATGGCTGTTTAACTATTAGGTACTTAAATCCCAAAGAAGCCTCATAGCAGTTTTCAGAACAGAGCTTGTAGTTTCAGGATCTTTTCTTTGAAGAGGTAGTGCCACTCCAATATAGCTACCCCATGTTACCCAGAACTTAAAATCTCAGTCCCTATAAAGGTTTACTATGGCATAGATACACTTATTTTAATGCCCTTAACTTTCCAACCTTGGAAAAAATAAACCAGCTATTTTTCTTCCCTGTGCCCTTGAGCATTCCTGCTACTGGTCACATAACAGCAAATAGATTCTAGTATGAATCCCTGTTCTCTAACCTTAGCTAAATTCCCAGTGCTGCTCAATCATTGTTTTTTAATTGACCTCAAGTTGACCCCTATCATGTTATCCAAGTCATTTTTTTTCCCACTGTTCTCAAGCCCTAAACCCCAGCTTCTCCCACCGTCAGCCAATGATTTCAGTTTCTTCTACTTTGTTAATAGGTAATGGTTCTGTACTTCCCAATCACCCAGGTAGAAACCTCTTAGGAATCTTTTATCTGTTCCTTTCTCTTACTCTCATATTCCAGCCCAGATTTGCCCCTTTCCTTTGTCTAATGCCTCTTATCTCTGTCTTTCTCCTATCTAATTGTCCTTGCCCTGTTTCATACTTCTTCATCTTTATCATGACTCTTCAATTAAGTCCTTCTCAAACTTTTCCTCCAAAGTATTTTTAAGAGCAGGAAAAAACAAAAATCTGGAATCACAGTCCTAAAACCAGCCTATTGCAAGAACTTTGTTGGAAGTCTTTGGTTTTAGTTTTTAAATTCCTGCAAATTTTATATTGTACTGAATAATAAATGTACCTTCTTTTAAATACAAAATTACTACCACTGAGTAAGGTTGACCATCTAGGAAAATGCACTGTGTATAACTCCCTGGCTCTTGCAATGGTGTAACTCGACTGGCTTCTGAAATATTCTGGTCTCACAGAAGATGCCCAAAGATTGCGACATAATATACACGAGCTTTCACTGAAAATGCAGTTAAGTCACTGATGTTCCATTTGATTGACTTCTCATGGGGATTAGTGGGAGAATTACATTCATATAAATTGTTTGGACAAAGAAAAAGCCTTACATTAAGTACTTTGTGTGTATACATTTTACATTTAGGGAGCTAAATATTTATATAAAATGTATCTCATGAAATTATAGTGGAAATTAGTAGCAAAGTATGACTTGATATGTTTGTACTTATACAAACATTTTTAAGCACACTATGTAGATACAGTTTAATCTACTTTATTACAGAAATGCTTCATGTACCTGTTTTTGCTTAGAAGCATCTGAAAAATTAATGTGTAGGAGATGGGCTGTTCCAGTTTTAGTCTACATCTAAGCATGTTTCTCCTTGGGGACAAACATTTATACACTGGTACAGCGATCGAGCAATGGGAAGCAGCTTGCTATAGTGGAAGAACCTGACAGTTTACAACTTAAAATAGGACCTGACTGACTCATTTATTTGCCCTGTGACCTTTAGACAAGCTGTTAACTTCACAGAGATTACAGTTTTCACCAATAAATGGGGGCTAAAATTATAAGTGACATTGTGGTTATGGAAGAAAAAAATATATGTGTGTGTATGTGTGTTTAGATGCACACTCAAGCATTTGGGGGTAAAAATACATGAAGTCTGGAAGTTGCCTTAAAATACTCCAACAAGAATGGGTGGAGCGATAGATGAAATATAGATGGACTGAGTTGACAGTAGTTAAGCTGGGTGAAGGGTATATGGGAGTTTGTTTTTCTCTCTACTTTTATGTAAGTATGGACATTTTCATACTAAAAAGTTAAAACTATCTTGCAAGTGGAGGTTTGTAGAGTCCCTGACATACAGTAATCACTAAAGAAATGGTCATTCTACCTCTCAAGATTTAGTAGAGGGATTAAAAACTATATATAATAATATAGCTTCTGCTAGAAACTTTGATTTTAATGCCTCTGATCCACTCTCAAACTTAAAGACCCAGAAAAGGTTTCTAGCTGTGGAAAACGTACTCTAGAGGTTTAAGCAAGTGTACAGAGCCTCTGGAGCTGGAGCCTGGGCCGACACCTCCAGTCTCTACAAAATCCTCATAAAGCTTTTCTCTGTCTTTGCACGGCCCCATGACTGCTGGAGATATTGTGCTTACTTGTTTGCTGATCTTGAAATCAATACATCTGTAAGACCGAGGAAGCCAGGACTGTTATAAGGACCAGCCTATATGTTTGTGACACACATTTTTAGCCTTGTTTGGCCTCATTCTTGGCCTCATTTCTACCTGTTGTAGAATTTGTAAGGAAGTGAGGCTGATGTTCCTGCCTCCTCCTAAAGCATGCTGGGAAATATTTATTGTCAAGATTGAGATTGTTGGGTGTTAAGTATTAATATCATTGAAAGATATGAACTGTGCAAGTCAACCTTGCCCACATTTTGACTTCTGACTCCAAATACTCCTTTCTAAATTAAACAGCAATTTTTTAATCCACCTTGTACTGATTTGAAGTGTACCTAGTTTTGTAAATTTGTCACTATTTCTGAAGACCCTGTTTTCATGTACCTAATTTTAAATTGTCAAATGTCAGAATCAAAATCAATAACTTTAAATGAACTGTCTCCATTTATCTTAATAAATATGGTCTATTTATCAGGGTATTATTATATATTTAAAACAGGGTCTATCTATATTTCTCCATCTTTCTTACCACCACACAATTTCAGGTCACCTTTAATTACTATAAAAGCCTCCCAATTTATAGCCTTCTTTCACTGATTATTTTGGGACTTTTGGATTTATAAAATGAAAATTTCCCCAAATATTCTTTAAAATCATTTCTCTATAGAAAATATGAAATGCCATATTCTCATTTTAAGCAAGTTGTAGCTTTCATTCTCTAAATTAATATATTTATTTTCCAGCTAGCCAATCCAGTCATTTCAACCATCTTCAAAACATCGCCAATCTCTCTAGCCAAATGAACTCTTTTTCAATTGACATATTATTAGGGATGGCTAAGATAATCATGGCATCATCTGCATGGCTTTTATGTGGCACTATTATTGTACTAATAATTTACAATTATTTACATGTACATTTCCCTACTTTATTTTATATATAAATTGATTTTTTCTTTCAAAAATTTGTTTCTTTTAATCATGAAATATTTCCAAATTCTCCTCTCTCCACAGTACCTGCTGGACACTAATACTACTAATACTACAATTAATACTACTGAGCTGATAATTGGAAACATCAATGCATTCATGCCATGTATCTACATTCAGTAATATATCGCTATGGACTAAGTAGCTATAGAGTTTGTTTCCAACCACATTGTTTTCTTTGCAAAATTTAGTGAGAAATGTTTACATTTTTGGAAATATTAATACCATGCTTTTGTTTGTGCATCCCTGTACGTGGTGCCTGGCACTTTGTCATGCACTGTGAGCAATACAAAAGTAATGAAATACATAGTCCTTACCCTTAAGTTGCTTACAGCCTGGACAGAAAGATGAGATATGATGGCCAGCCCTAGGCAAAATTGAGAAGCAGTGAAGTTTTCTCTGGGATTCCCAAAGCCACATTCTTTCCTCTTATAAATTTGTGAACAGATAACCAGGCTCCATGAAGACACTACTTGAGCAAAACGGTGAAGAACTGAGAGCATGCTGTATCAAGTAGTTGTACCACTTCTTCCCCAGCTTAGCCCAGTTGCTACTGCCTAAAGGAGGCCTGAGATGGTTGTTCTGTCTGTTCTCAAGAATGGGTCAATCTTGGCTTCACCTGGGATAACAGTTTTGAAAGCCACATGGGACAAAGTCACTAAATCAGTCCAAGCCCCAACCCTCAAAAACAAGAGAGCAGGTTTGGTGACTGAGTGTAAAGAATGAAAGAAGGGAAAAAAACTTCTGGTGTCAGCTCAGGAAATAGAAAGGAAGTACTGGTTGATGCAAAAAATTGTTTGAAACTCCACTATTTGTTATCAGTATTTGTTATAAAATTTTTTTTATATTTTTAACAAACAAAAATCCTTATTTTTAAAAAGATGCAGTAAAGGAACTATACTCCAATAAAAATTAAAAATAAAAATAAAATAGCGGATTCAATTCCATACTTTCCTAGCAAAAATTAGAAGATATATCTATTACTAAATCCAAGATGAGTGATTTGATACTTTTTTGTTTTCCTAATGGGGAAAGAATGGATTTACTTTTTTTCTCAGAAGAAAGATGTACAAATGAAAGAAGCCCTGTTCATTGTGCTTTAAAATGAATAATTTTTTCAATTTATATTTCTCTCTCCACTTTTTAAAGGAATTTAGAGCAAAGTCAAGAGAATGGGACAAGCAGGAGATACTATATCAGACTCATCTGGTTTCTTTAGATGCTCAACAAAAAGTATTATCTGAGAAGTGTAATCCATTTCAGGTACATCATCTAATACTATCCTCTAAATCAGAATAAATTAGAAGTTAAATACTATTACTCTCTTTACCATTCAGCATGTAATCCTTCTACAGATACAAATGCCAACTAAGGGAAAATAACCAGAGTAGGTCCAACACTGGGTAGAGTTACAAGTGCATGAAATATCTGTAATGGTGACTTTAGTCTGTATGTCTCAGAAGGTGGTGCTATTAAAAGTCTCCATTGTTATTATGTCATTAAATAACATGTTTTTGCATGCCTATGAGCAAGTCATTTAGAAAGTCTTAAGGTTGCTTGGTCCTGGCACTCTAGAACCTTACAGCCTAGACACAGATAATACATGTACAGGTTTACAGATAATTAATGACAAGTGAATGAAAAGGATACAAATCCTTTTGGAGGTCGAAGGAGTACGAGAAAAATTTGGACTGACATAGTCAGGAAACATCCTCCAGCAGGGGTGGGACTAGGCCTGGGCCTAGAAGAAGAATGGCTATATTTTGAGACAAGAGAGAATGTATTCAAGTTGGTGGAAATAACATGAGCAAAGTCACTGAGGCAAGAGAGCAAAAGGCAAATTCAGGGAATGGAAAGTGGGCCAATTGGCTGGAAGTCCATGTGGGAGGTGAAGGGGCAGTAGGCGGGAGGGAAGGCTGGCGAGTTGGATATTAGATTGTAATAAGCCTTAAAGGCTTACCTAAGGAATTTTGAATTTTTATTAAAGCTGGTAAGAAACATTTTTGTTTGATATATACTTATTTTTCATTCTTTCTTTAAGTTACTTGAATTATATGTTATACATGTTCCCTGAATTCAACAGTACAAAATAATGTGATGTAAAACTGATAGCCTTATCCTCTATTTCATTCTTATCCATTTAATATAAACACTGTTAACAATTAGGTGTTTATCTTCACATACATTTTCTTTTGTTTGTACAAATATGTAAATATATGCTTGTGTGGAAATTGTATATTTTTCTTTTTTAAATTTTGCTTTTTTACTTAATAAGCCATGAATAGCCTTTTGAGTCACTACTTAATTAAAATATTTCAAAGTATATAGTGTATATATATCATATATACCATAGTATATCGCAGATGTACCATAATTCTTTCAATCATTTCCTTATTAACTAACACTCAGGTTGTTTCCAGTTTTCTGCTATTACAGTAGTGTAACAAATACCCTTGTATGTACATCTTTAAATACGAATACTTTCGTTTTGTTAAATAAAAATCCTAGAAATGATCGCTGAGCCAAAGGGTATGTTCATTCAAAATTTTAATAAATATTAGCAGATTCCTTTCTTAAAAATGATAGTAATTTATAATTCATGAACAGGCAACAAGACTACCCCTACTCTCACCAGCATGGACTATCTGTCTTTTGATTTTTACTAACTTGATGGACTAATAGTAACCTTGACTTCATTTGCTTTACGTTTCTCTGACTACTTGTAAGGTTGAGCATCTCTTCTTGTGTTTCTCAGCCTTTTTCATTTCCTCTTCTGTGAATTGCCTGTGCATAAACTTTGCCCACTTTTCTTTTGTGTTGTTTGTCCTTTTCTTATTGATGTGTAGAAGTTTTTGTACATCAGAAATTACCCTTGTTATACATGTTGACAACTTTTTTGTACAATCCAGATTTTTTTAATTTTGTTTATTTTTTTGTCATAGAGACATTTTCAGCTATTATGTAATTGAATCCATGCTTTTTTCATATCTTCTATATTTTCTTTTTTGCTGAATAAGAATTCCCTAGCAAAAGCCATCTACTCTCCTCTGCATCTTTGCTCTGAGGTTACACAGATATATTTTCTCTTTATGCCACCTGAAATTGAGGTTTTAGAATAAACACAAGACTGAATTATGAAGGACAAAGCTTCATTATCTAATAATATATTTAAAGATGTTTTACTAATTCTTTTCTATCATTCTTGAACTTTATGTAAGCTTAAATACGATACTCTTCACTTAACTGACACAATTTTCATATTTCTCAGAAACAGGTGCAAAGTTACCAAACTCCACTAAATAGTAAAAAACAGGACATAGAAGAAGACAGCAGCTCTGAAATTCCTTGGATATGCGAACCAGATACCAGTTGTGAAACCAATGAAAGAGATGAGTTCATTATTGAAAAATTAAAATCAGCTGTGAGTGAAATAGCGCTAAGCAGGAATAAGTTACAAGATGAAAATCAGAAGCTCTTACAAGAACTGAAAATGTACCAAAGACAGTGCCAGGTAAGGATTTATTTGTTTTTCAACTGTTATAGCCCATGAGTTGTACAAATGATGACTCAACAGGCATGTGGATTAGAAAGCTAATTTTTTATTGCATATGTACATTCAGCTCATATTTCCTCTTAATAAGTAATTCTTATTTGATGAGTAAATTCAGTATTTCCATGGGTACTTTTCCCCACTAGCTGCACTCGGGTTCTGCAGCGACATGGTAATAAATATTACCAGTGCCGTAGAACTGTGGTCTCTCACAGACCTCTCTTCCTAAAAACCATGGCCCTTTAGCCACACCACACCCTCTGTCCCCAGTGTTCATTCTCTCTGACACTGTGCCTCTTTGCCTCTCAGGAGTCCTGGGCTGGAGACCCAGGAAATGATTAAGGGTTTGACAATCTAATCACCTCCCTGAGAGGCATGAGGGTCACTCACTCCCTGTGATTTATCGCCATTAACCTTATCATAATCGTTTACCAAATAGGAGGTAACTCCACCTTGGTAGATGTGATGGATGGTTTTTCCAAGGATTAATTTTTTTCTTAACTCACAAATCTTTTTTTTGTCTCTCTCTTGGAACCACTAAGAAGGTTATGCAGCATTCATCAAAATTGATCATTACCAATTTCTCGACTAAATATGTATTTCTTATTCATGGCTCTCCCAGTTACTTGAGACGTTCTGTGGTTTTCTCTCCCATTCTAGGTCTTATCTCCCACCAGCAAACATTCAGCCTCTTTCTACTGATTCCTCTGTGTCAGTTGGCCCATTTCTTAGTCCCACTCTATTCCCTCCTCAGGCTGAGGTCACCTTTCCAGGTCACTGCCTGAGCAGACTCCCACTTCTCTAAGATATTCCACCTCAGACTCTTCTTCCCAGGGTCACTTCTTAGTGTTGGGCCGACTTCTCCTTCCCTCCTTCTGCCACATTGTATGTGGGATTACGTATGGGATTCATCCTTTCACTTCTTTCTCTGCCAGCATCTATCGTCTGTGTTCCCCTGTCCCCACGTTGGCAAGGGGACAGAGCACAGGCTCCCAGCTTCTCCTATCCTGTGGCATTTCTACGAGAAGTACAGCTTCCCACCCCAAACTCCAGCTTTGTTTGGGGAGGGGGTGTTATTCCAATACAAATGAGAAAGCAGCTGTACACAAACCAGGCTAAACCACAAATGCTAAACACTGAGAAAGTCATACATCTTCTAGAAACAGAAAAGTTATTGATGATGCTTTCTCTGGATTCACTAGAATGTAAGTGAGACGAGCCCCTCCTCTTCTGCCCTAGAGCTTGTCCAGGTGCTTTCTAGTGTTTAGCTCGCCATCAGCCCACCAGTCCTGGTGGAGCTGGGTTTGCGTGACTGCTAGTTCTGACAGGCTCCCCTTCCTCCCAGGGGCTGCTTCCCCTTCATCCCCCTGGACAGGGGCCACGGGTCACACCTCTGGCCCTGATTTAAAGACGACTTAAATTTATATTTTGCAGCTGTCTTTATACTGCTAGAGGCTGCACCAGGATCACAAGGGTTCACTTGCAGAAAAAAAAAGCAAATTATTCTGGAGTATGTTTCACACACACACACAAAAATATATATTATAGTTCTAATGAAAAGATTTTTGAGAAGTAATTTGCTTCAAAAACTTCAAGGTGTCTAAAAGCTAAGATTTCTACTTCCAGGAAAACACTAATTAATTTTGATGCAACTAGAAAAAAATGCTGAAAATGATGCTTTTGTTTGGCCTTTTCCCTGTTTTACTTCCAAATTTTACTTACATTTCATTCTTTTGCTTTAGAATAAGTATCAATTATTTACTGCTTGGTAGCTGATTGAGGGTTCAAACTCACTGCTTCTCTCAAACCATTAAGCAAATTTCTAACTAAACAGATGGGCCTCAAACTAGTTTTACAAAATTTATATTTTACCAAATGGGAATAATTAGAAGTGAATAATCACTGTAACCAGTGCATGTATTTAGAAAGAAGTTTCTCTTCTCTTTTTGCAAAACTGTCATATGATGGTGTTCCACGTCTTGCACATGAATTTAAAAAGACAACCATTTCAGTCTGAATTACTGTCACTTATTGTATATAAAATTCTCTTTAGTTTACAAGACACTTTAATGCCAGCTGCATCTGAATTTTCACACGAATCACACCTTCTCACTTGTCTTTCCACAACCTTGAAATGGGTCAGCATAGCTATTAATTCCATTGCATATGTTTATTTACTGTGCTGCATTACTCACATTTTGAAAGTGTACAATATTTCCCATTGGCAGTTAATGACAGAAATAAATTGTTCTGCATTTTTTCTAATATCTATGCCAAAAAAATGGACCTTTTTTGTTTGCTTGTTAATGTGTCATTAAGGTACTAGAGCAGCACTGTCCAATAGAAATATAATGCAAACCACAAATGTAATTTAAACTTTTCTAGTAGCCACATTAAAAGAAATAATACGAAATAGGTGAAATTAATAGATAATTGTAATAAACTTTATGTAACACAGCATATATCCAAAGAGTTATCATTTCAACATATAATCAATGTAAAAAATTATTAATGAGATATTTTACATTTCTTTTCATACTAAGTCTTCAAAATCTGGTGTGTATGTTACACTTACACATCTCAATTTGGATGTTCAGTATTCACCAGAAATTCCCAATCTGTATTAAGATTTCATAAAATTTACAGTTAAAAAAGTAGAGATTTACATACCCAAGTTGTTCCAAGCAAACTTGAAAGTGTTGCAGTAACTGAATCAAGTACCAAAGAATCATTTTTCCTGAATATTTGCATCCACACTGACAAATAATTGATTTGACTTTTATACAAAAGCATGCTAATTTTAAATCACCTAATCTAAGTTAAATCACCAGTTCTTGTGTCAACTCAGTATTATTAACATTGAATTCAAAGGGATATTACACAAGTCAAAAAACAACTCAATTTATCAATATCAACAAAGCTTATTTTTTTGCACTTTCTAATCAATTTTACATAATGCTGTCAATTATAATTAAAAACTTTCACATATTCCTTCATGTTAGAAAAACCTGTCAAATCATTATTATTGTAAAAGTTTCAATTCTAACATAAATTCTTCTACCTGTGCAGCTAGATCACAAAGAAGCTTTTTTTCCCCTTAATTATATCTCCAAATGTCACTCTTTTTTTTTTTTTTCCTTTGCGGTACGCGGGCCTCTCACTGTTGTGGCCTCTCCCATGGCGGAGCACAGGCTCCGGACGCGCAGGCTCAGCGGCCATGGCTCATGGGCCCAGCCGCTCCGTGGCACGTGGGATCCTCCCGGACCGGGGCACGAACCTGTGTCCCCTGCATCGGCAGGCGGACTCCCAACCACTGCTCCACCAGGGAAGCCCCAAATGTCTCTCTTTTAGGTATTATTTTCTAATGACAGTACACAAATAGACTCCATTATTATCACATTTTACAGAATTCCATGGTGACACTACATTTCATTGTCCTGGAGTTAGAGCCCTTTTGTACCCCACCCCTTCCCCAAGTGAAGGCAGGCCCACTCTTCTACATGCAGGTTCATGTTAGATTGCTCCCTGGTAGTAAATCTGCAATGCAGGGAGCCGGGAGAGTGCCTTCCTCAATTGGGTAAAGTAATCGATGAAATTCACATCAAGTTAATTTGTCTTTCTATTTGCTAATCTATTGTTTCACATTTCTTTTGTTTATTTTGGAATTTTAACCTCATCTGAAAAACCCCCACGTTTGAGACAAGGACTTTATCCAAACAAGTCTGTTAAGTCACCTATTTGAATATATTTTCATTCTTATTTCCAAATCAGCCAGGAATTTCTGGGGCTAAAGTATTGCAGCTAGGTCTTTTACTGAGCCCAGGTCTCTAGGTCTCCTGGAAAGTAATACATTATATTTAAGACTTTGGTAAAAAAAAAAGAAAGTTTATCTGGGAACCCATATGTCCTATACTGTCTACATGATTATAATTCTAAGCTGTGAATTTTTGCATCAGAATTAATGAATAAGAAAACGTATGTCCACGTAAAAGCTTATACGTGAATTTCATAACAGCATTATTCATAATAGCTAAAAAAAAGGAAATACCCAAACGTTCATCAATTGATGAATAAATAAAGTGGTATATCTATACAATTAAATATTATTAATAAAAAGGAATGAAGTACTGATACATGCTACAACATGGATGAACCTTGGAAGCATTATGCCCAGAGAAAGAAACCAATCACGAAAGGCCACATGTCATATGATTCCATTTGTATGAATTGTGCAGAATAGGTAATTCCATAGAGATACAACATACGGTAGTGGTTGCCAGGGGTTGGAAGGAAGGGAAAATGAGGAGTGGTTGCTAATGGGTATGTGGTTTATTTTAGGAGTGATGAAACTGTTCTGGAATTAGATAGTGGTGACGCTTGCACAACTTTGTGAATATTCTCAAATCCACCGAACTGTACACTTTAAGTGGGTGCATTTTATGGTATATGGATTATATTTGAATGAATCTATTATTGATATATAAAGCATTATTGAACAAATGATTTTTTGAAAATATCAACAGTGTTTTTTTACAGCCTTTATTAGCAGTGCCCTCAGAACAACACCCCCCCCCCCAAACTTTACCAATAAGCTACAGGTCTGCTTTACTTATTTTGCGCGAAACAATTATTTTTGCGTCTTGAATGTTCTAACTGAACTAGTAGACAAAAGATCTGGATTTTTCCATTCCAGAATCTGCAACTTATGAGCTATGTAACTTTGGACCAAGTCTGGCCCTCAATTTCCTCATCTATAAAAATGGCGATGGATTTGATGACTTGGGTCATCAAATATATTAATATGTATTTAATATTAATTACATTAATAAATATTCATTTCTCTGTGTAATTGAGTGGAGGAGACCTGTTGATATGAAAGGACTCTTCCATTCCTCTCTCCCAGAGAACAGCCAAGTTCTGCTGGAGAAAATCACTCAACAGGTCATGGGCACAAACCTCAAATGAGTATCAACATTGCCAGGAGTCCTACTGTGTTGCTCCAAACAACTAACTCTCCCATGCCCATTGAAGGCCATCTCAAACCTTCTCCACTCTCAAAAACCCCTCCCCCACCCCCACCTCCACCTCTCCTTCCACTGACCTGACATTGCCTTTTTCCTTCACAAGGAAAATAAAAGCCAACAGGTAGCGCCTCTCCTAGCTCCCCATTTCCAAATGCATATACGTGTCTCCATTCCATCTTCCTTCCTTCTTTCCTACTGCAGGAGCAGAGGGACTCCTTTGCTTTAGGCAGTTCTTTCACTTGTGCTTTGGGACCCACCCCACCTACCTTCTCAGGAACCTGACACTGTTAGTATTACCCCTTCTCTCTCCCCACTAGATCCTTCCCAACAGCTTCTAAACTTGCTCAAGTCCCTGCTATTAGCCAGATAAAACACTGGGCTCACAGGATTGCTGGTATTTCTAGTTACCAGCTGAAGTAGGGCTACTATTGGGCAATAGTGGAACCGTAAACCATGGTTTATAATTCACTTTGTTGGCCAGCTTTGAAATTAGATTTTTCTTGGCTATTATCTTATTTAAATTAGGAATTATTTGCATTCATTCAAATTTTATGCATTGATATTTTATTCATACTTTTATGTTTCCCTCTTTCATACAGTATGGCCATATTTGGATGCTTCTTTGTCTTTATCACTAGACTGTAAGCTCATGAGGACAGATCCCGTGTCTGTATCCTCAGTGCTGAGCATAGAGTAAGAGCTCAGTAAATATTTGTTGAATAAATGAATGAAATTCTGTAAGACAGAGCCAGCAAAGGATGATATATCAGTTCATTTGAAATTAGGCTGCTTCATAGATGTTAAATATTTTTAAAAGTATTATACATCATGATATCCAAATGTGAGGATTGAAATTTTTTGATGTTTTTATTTAGGCCATGGCAGCAGGACTCTCAGAGGTGAAAAGTGAGTTACAATCACGTGATGATCTCTTGAGAATTATAGAAATGGAACGATTGCAGTTGTACAGAGAATTGTTAAAACTAGGAGAGTGCCAAAGTGCTCCAGAAAATAAAAAAAGGTATATTTTTATATTCAGCAGCCTGAGAAAAACTATTCAAAACATCATGTTTGAATATTTTTAAGAGTTTTATATTTGAAACTAGAATTAAAAGTCAGTTTTGTATTAACATGCTGTTAATTATTAGGTAATATTAGATATTAAAAATAAAGTTAGTGGGGGCTTCCCTGGTGGCGCAGTGGTTGAGAGTCCGCCTGCCGATGCAGGGGACCCGGGTTCGTGCCCCGGTCTGGGAGGATCCCACATGCAGCGGAGCGGCTGGGCCCGTGAGCCATGGCCGCCGAGGCTGCGCGTCCGGAGCCTGTGCTCTGCAACGGGAGAGGCCACAGCAGTGAGAGGCCCGAGTACCGCAAAAAAAAAAAAAAAGTTAGTGATTATTTATCTTCAAAATCAGTATCTTTACTCACCTAGAGAATTACATCATGCTCTGATATGTGGATATTTATGTGTCATAATGAAGTCAGAGACTTTCTTAGAACTTTATTCTTCAGAATATCGTAAAAACAATAGTATAGAGCTGGTATTTAATTATCAGTGTTGGTAAATAAGATTTATTCCATATTTTTCAAATATTTTTATTTTGTTGGCCTTAAACCTGTTACTAACTTTTCACTCATAAATGTTGTATTTATTTTGGCCTCCACACTCACCACTGTGTCAGTTCCATTAAGGGTTTTGTTAGACCAGACTTTTTTTCCCTTTTTTAAAATCAGACAGATATTGTGTACTACATAACCACAAAGGAAATGGAACTTCAGAGGATTATTAAATGTTTATGTTTGTGAATAGGCAGTTTGAATGTTCTAACTATTCACTGATGTTCTAATTCTCATTAGAACTTGAATCCTTCATACATCTGAAGGCGAATGCCAGACCAATGATAGGATTTTAGAAACTGAATAGCCAAATGGTAAGGGATATTTTATTGAAGGATAATTACATTGTTTTAAAGGCAATAATTATTTCTTCAAAGTTGTGGGATCTGCTAGCATTTCTTTGAGGTCTACGCTTAACAACAAATGGCAAATTAAGATCCGTAAAAATGACCTACTGTGCATCTAACCAGGGATGGTAGAATGCCTGTTAGCCAGTTAGCATTATAGAGTGCTCAGATATATAAGCTATATGTCATCACCACTGATCATTAATAAATCCACTGGAAATATATTATGTGCAAGGCACTGTCCCAGTGTGGTGAGTTGGTGAGAAATGTCTTTGCGCAAGGAATGTATATGCCTAAAAACGTAAGAAGTTTCCTACAAGAGCAAACCATTCAACCCATGTCTAGCTCTGGTTTGTGAAGAGCATTGTAGGTATTTTCTCTGGAACTTCCTCACAAGGCCAATGCTGAATTCCAGACATTGCCAACTGTCCTTCAATACATGATTTAATCTAAAATCTTGCCGTTATTCACATATTTGGCCAATACGACTCTTCTGGTATGCCTGCTTGCCATCTTCTATTTAAGTTGGTATATATTTTGGTCTCCAAGCTACATCTTTCTAATTTGGAGGATATTCTTCAGTTCTAGTATTCTGAGATTTGATGAAAAGATAGATATTTAACTTTTCACAGCTTCCATTGTATTTCAGACTTTGGGCAGAGTCTTCTCAGCCTTCATCTTTCCCACTGAAAGTTTCTAATTCTTTTAGTTTGTGCTCATATGAGCATGATTCTATCCTCTTTATTGTTTTGGGTTTTTTTTTGAATTTAGACTCTGTTTTGTCTTTACAGCTGTATTAAGGTGAAGCAGCCATGGCTACTGAGTGTAGACACACAATAGCTTTATAATAGTAGCATTATAATGTCTTCATTCATTTTCAGAACCTTTCTCCATAATGCTAAGATTTTGTTAGCTTTTTCTTGTCTTACTTATAGAAACACCTTGGGCTGATATGTTCTGAGAGTTATAAAAATAATTTCTACATTCCCTTCTTACAAGATAAATGATAGTTCCTTTATATCTTTATATTAGCATGATTATTGTTTTCTTCTTTAAACTTGTCCACATTAAAGCTTGATGTTTGTTCCCTTCACTTACTGAAATTTATAAGGTCATTATGAGGTTTTACCATTCAGTTCAGCATTCCACTCCCTGAATTGCTTAGGAAGAATTAAAAAATTAGGAAATTTCATTTTTCACCTTTTTAAAATCATAGCAAATAAGAGAAATTTAAGATGGATCCTGAAATAATGTTTTAGGAGAATATTGGATAAAATACAATATATTACTGAGTGGGAAACAAAAGGGGACTGAAAAATAATGTGTTCAGTACATTCTAATTGTACAGGAAACATGTATGTTTTTATACACATATGCACAGGCAAAAAAGACAATTAATATACACAAAAATGCTGACAACAGTTTTTCCTAGATGACAATTTATCGCAGTATATACTCTGATAAACTGTTTTCTACACTTAACATGTATATTTGATAATCAGAATAAAAGCAGTCCAGTCCAGACATATGTACCTCAGGGATATCACTATTAATTTATACCTTTTAAAAGAGCCCTTTATTTTCCATCTTTACATTAGTTATTTCTCTATCATTACTCAGATTTTGTTGTGTTTGAATGTGTGGCTTAAGTTTTTGATTTGTGGAACTTTTTAAAAAGCTCTTTGGAAATCTAAAATTATGCTCACTTATAGGTGGGTACATTCCTCAAAACCCCAGACTCTACCAGGTTAGTCCAGCAATAGTGGAAAGCATGTTTCTTTTCTTGCCTGGTTATCTTTATTTTTCTGTTTTAATGTTTTTTTAATTTTACCAACCTCCCTGATGTGGAAGTGAACATTACCTGTTTCTAGTTCTCCAACCTTCCTATGGAAATGGTACTTTTTATACTAGTTTCTGCCTTTCCTCTCTAGTGTCCATATATGGTTGCTATTCCATTTTATAAATTGAGCAGCCAAAAAATAGACATATTTGCACTCTCTCTGGGTAGCCTGTCAGATTTAATCATTTTGAATCACTTTTACAGAGTAGCGGCTCCCCCCGGACATCTCCTGACATAGTTCCTTTCCACGATGTAGAAGCAGGTCAGGTGTATTTTCTTTTTTAAATTGGCTCCCAAGCTATTTTATTATACCGAACAGTCTTTTCTTCTTATCCAAAAATCTTATCTACATATGCAAATCCAGTATTCAGCCAATTTTTAATGTATAATTGAAATTCCATATTAATAACTAGGTTTTATTTTTTTCACTAAGACTATTTGCACTCAGTTAAATATGCAAATACTTATGGGACCTGAATGTATTAGAACTTGCCATTTCTGTAACTAGAAATGTTTCCAGCAGACTAATAATCTATCTCTGCATCCTATGATGGCCTAAATTAACAATATAATCACAACAATTTATCAAGTTAAGCTTAATTTTTACTCATTATAATTTGTAGACTTGAATCATCTTATTCACCATCTATTAAAGAATCAGAAAAACAACGGAAAGAGCTGTTTGCAGTGACCCCAGATCAACCAAATCATGAAAAAGAATTGAACAAGGTATGGCAAATAATGAGCTTTGTTCTTACAGGCAGATCTGAGGTCTCTGAATACAAAGGGGGAAAAACATCTTCCCTCTCACTCCGTTCTTTTTTTTTTTTTTTTTTTTTTTTTTTGCGGTACGCGGGCCTGTCACTGTTGTGGCCTAGGCTCAGCGGCCATGGCTCACAGGCCCAGCCGCTCCGCGGCATGTGGGATCTTCCCGGACCAGGGCACGAACCTGTGTCCCCGGCATCAGCAGGCGGACTCTCAACCACTGCGCCACCAGGGAAGCCCCCACACTCCCTTCTTTTTCCTTCTGTGTTTTCTCCTAAGAAAATAACCTACCAAGCTGCTAATTCTGACACTCCTCTGTGTGATGCTACAAGAAAGACAAACCTTAGGTCATCACTCTGCTGCTGGGAGACTGCCCAGGAAACACAGAGGGCCTGTGGCTCAGTGCAGGGTAGCTGAGCGCAGGAAGTGTGAAAGCAGAGGCCTGCACTCAACCACACGCTAGGTGTGTGAGCTTTGGGAAGTTGCCTATGCGAGCTGCTTATGTTTCTCATTTCTAGGATGGGGGTGGGATAATTCGCCCTACCTCATAAGGTTGTGATGAGGATTAAACAAGCTTAAACAACTCTTGCCATGTGCCAGAAGCTGTTCTAAGGGCTTAACAAATCCTAATTCATGTATTCCTCACAACCATCTTATAAGGTAGGTACTAATGCTACCCTCTTTTACATTTAAGGAAACTAAGGCACAGAGAAGGTCAGCAATTTCCACCAATATTATATAACTAGTAAGTAGCAGGGGCCGGATTTGAATCCAGGCAATCTGGCTCCAGAATTCATACTCTTCCATTAAATCCATAAAATAATGCAAGTAAAGTGCTTAAAACGGGGCCTACCTAGCTCAGAGGAAGCACCTAATGGATGTTGGCTGCTCTTGTTATTGGTGACACCCACATTTTGTCATTGAGCACCTAACATGTGCCAAGTACTCTGCCAGGAGCTAGGCAGCTACAAAAACTGTCTTCTCTTCTTCCTCTAGTCAAATTCAGTAGTGGCTTTCCCATGAGTTTCTCACGACTCCTACCCACTTCTCTGGTCTTTCAGTTTAAGGATTACACAGAATATTCAATGCTATATAGTCTAAACAATTGTTAAAAGCAGGAAAATACTGGATGTGGCTTTGAATTATCATCCGGTGCCCAGCAAAGTGCCTGACACACAATGAGAAAATAAATATTTAGAGAACAAATTAATTAATATTAAGGCTGAAGTCTCCCATAATTGTATAGGGTCATAAATTCAGTTGTTTGTATAAATTAAACAAACATTTATTGAGTATCTAGTAGGACTGTTGCTGTACTGCTTGTTTCTGTAGGAAATATAATAATGTAAAAGCCAAATCCCATCTCCTGAAGAATTGACTGTCAGGCAACTATTTAGTGTAGAAAAGGTGTTATGAATTACTGATCATTTTCCTTATATTTTTCACATAATCCCATGAAACTTATTTTACTGATATTTTAAAATATAACTTTAAAAACTGTTCTTGACTGGAGTCCCCAGTGAATACATTATGATAAAAGGTTGACTAAATCCTCCTAAAGTATAGTTACACCATTCTTAACCTCATAGATTAAGGTAGAGTAATAAACTTAGAAGGAATCTACTGATTTTGCACAGTTTTGATGTGGAGGGAGAGACTGCAAGACACAAATCTCTTTACAGACTCTGGGAGACCTCTAGATAATGCATTGCTGTGCAGAAAAGGTAACAAATGAATTGTGTATAAATAGCTATAGTTTCTGGGAAGTGTTTGTAGAGAGCATTTTCATTCTCTTGTAATAAAACCAACAAGAGCCATGTACTATGAATCTTGCAAGTGTTTTATTTCTTTCTCTTTTGTCAATTATAGAATGATTTTTAGTAACTTATTTTGTGATAAAATTGACATTTTTAATAAAGCCAAAAGTCATTTACAGCTAGGTAAATTAATCTCATTTAAAAAGAAATTTTGCAGTATAGCATGTTTTAATATCTAAATGTTGTAAAAATAATGAAAATAGTTTACTCCTTCTTCATGATAATATATTCATTTTTTTCCCACATTTTAAAAATACCATTTTAAGAGAACATGTTAAACTACACCATGGGGATGCAATCAGCAAAATCCAAATTGGGGCAAATGATAGAACAACCCCATTGTTCATCAAATAAATTGTAAGAGAAAAAAATTGGAGAGAGAAGATGGGAGATGAAAGGAGATGTGTAATATTGCCCTGGGGTAAGGGTGTTTGTACTTCAGTCTCCTAGTCTACGCTTCTGCTCTTAGGAGCTGGATAACTTAGACCCAGTCAGTTCCTTTCCCTATGAGCCTTTGTTTTTCCATTTTTTTAATGATGGAGTTAGGCCATGTGATTTCTAAGGTTATGTCCAACTCTGAAATTCTAAAAATTTTGGTAAAAAGAATAGACTCAGATGAGAGATTGATGGTATAAAGCCTGAGGCTGGACCATGGTTGCCTTACTGACCTGAGGACTTTCCATGTTAGGTCATCCCACTCTGGCTTTTTTCCAATGTGGGAACCACGTTCTAGGGCTATGCTCACAGAGGTTACATAGAACAATGGGTAAGGACCTGGAATCAGACTGCCTGTCACCAAGAATGTGACTGTGAACAGTTATGTATCTTAATTTTCTGATCTGGAATATAGAGATTGTGGTGATTAAATAAGACGATGTATGCAGAGTACTCAGAACACACACACACACGTGCACACGCACATGCATGCACAAAGAGAGGCTTTAAAAAGATAGGTGCCAGGGGCTTCCCTGGTGGCACAGTGGTTGAGAGTCTGCCTGCCGATGCAGGGGACATGGATTCGTGCCCCAGTCCGGGAGGATCCCACATGCCGCGGAGCGGCTGGGCCCGTGAGCCATGACCGCTGAGCTTGCGCGTCCGGAGCCTGTGCTCCGCAACGGGAGAGGCCACAACAGTGAGAGGCCCGCGTACCGCAAAAAAAAAAAAAGATAGGTGCCAGTCGCAATGTGTGGACCATATTTAGATCTCAATTCAAATAAGCAAACCTGCAAACCATTCATTACACTTCTGATACAATTTTAAATTTGATAGTGCCTGGATATTGTATGATATTGAGGAATTGTTGTTAATATTTTTAAGACATTATAATGGTATTCTGGTTATGTTAGAAAAGAGAGCACACCGCTATTCTTTTAGAGATATATCCTGAAATGTTTAAAGATGAAATGAAAAAAAAGTTTTTGAAGTAAGTTCCGAGGGGTAAATTCATATAAATCTCTTTGTGAATGGCCCCTCCTTAACTCTCCAGCCTTACTTCTCACAACGCGCCAAGTCCCAGCCACTCCAAGCTCCTCTGGGTTCACTGAGTGTGCCTTCTCCATCTGACCCCGCTCCTTCACTGCATTCGTTGCCTGGGAGCTCACCTCCATCTCTCTCTTCCATCTGGCTTCCATTCATCCTTCAGTATTCCGTGCGATGTCCCTTCCTCTGGGAATCCTATCCTGGCATCCCCAGGCTGGAGTAAGCACTACTCCACTACATACTGCTGATATCAGTTGCTACACTGCGTTCTAACTGTTTATTTTCCTGTTTCCCCTGATGGACTGTGATTTTTTTTTTTTTTTTGAGACCGGTAATTACGTACTTTATCTCTGATCCTCAAGAATCAGAGAGAGTGAAAGATTTCTAGAAAGACGGGAGGAGGCTGGACTAAGACAGTGGTAGTAGGAATGGAAAGCAGAGGTGAGATTTAAGAGAGGTTGAAATAGAAGGGACAGAATTTGCTACCTGACTTGATTTGGGAGGATGAGGGAGGGGAGGAGTCCAAGGTGATCCAGAGGTTTCTACCATGGAAGGTTTAGCTAAAGTTAAGAATATGAGACTCCATCGGCTTAAGAAGTGTAGGTGATGCTTTTTGATGGACACCTTAAGTTTGAAATTTATTGTAACAAGATTCTTAAAAACATAGTGTTCAGTCGCAAATAGTACAGCATGATTTAGTCCAAAAAAGCACTGAATTTAGATCCAACAGTCCTAAGTTCTAGACCTAGCTCTGCCCGTTAATAGCTTTATGAATTTGAGCAGGTCACTTAACCTCTGTAAGCCAATTTTTTTCTCCCTAAAAAATGGTTCATCAGCCTCTGGGCTGTGGGTCCAGTGCTCTTCCATGGCACCAAATCCGGAGTGGTGGTTTAATGGGTATCAAGTAAGTTACACGAGATGAGTGAGTTCCACAGTCTGCTGCACAACACAGTGCAACAGTGAACAGTAAGGTATTGTGCACTTAAAAATTTGTTAAGAAGGTAGAGCTTGAGTTAAGTATTCTTACCACACGTACACAAAATTAAAACAACAAAGGGACACAAAGAAACTTTTAGGTGTAATTGTCACGTTTATTTTCTTGATTTTGGTGATAGTAACACAAGTGTATGTCCAAACTCACCAAATTTTATCCATGAACTATGTGCAGTTTTTGTATAGCAATTATACCTCAATGAAGCTGGGAGAAAAGTGCTTGATAATACTTTCCCCACCTTCCTGTCAAAGTCGTCATTAAAGTGGTATCAGTAGTTGGTGATGACTTACATACAATAGAAAATAGAAGTGAAAAAAACATTTTGAAATTGGAAGGAAAAAGTAAATGAATCATTATTGTAAGTATCTTTTTCATTTAGCTTTGATCAGAAAAGGAGGGTAAAGTGAGGTCTGGCAAAGTTTTAAGATAGGATGGGAAGACCGAACATGGCCAATAAAACCTTTCAGCTGCTGTATAAAGGATTTGTTACTATTTTCTGGAAAATATCTGCTGCAGATAAGAAGCCAACTCTATCAGGAGGAAGAGTACCATAGCTCTGAGCAGGAAAGAATGAGGAATGAAATCTCTGACCTAACTGAGGAGCTTCATCAGAAGGAAATCACTATAGCAACTATCATGAAGAAAGCTGCCTTTCTGGAAAGACAGTTAAAAATGGAGTTAGAAATAAAAGAGAAAATGTTGGTGAAACAACAGGTATGCAAGCGGCAGGAAGCACCTGTCCAGGTCACTCTTGCTTAGTGCAAATAGTCGCCTTCCTTATTGATTAATAAAAGGGTTGTATTTCTTGTATTGTTTCTGAGACTAACAGCACAGAAATGCTTTGTGGAGTCACATAAAACCTTGGTGAGATAATGCAAAGTGTCATCAAACAAGAACCAGGGAAACAAGTGACAGCACAAGAAAATTTCTTTAAATCTCATGCTAACATTTTCTAGTGACCCATATTCTGATCACCTCCCACAGCATGCTCTGGTCAAAGATTTCTTCCTGAATTTGTTTTCCATAGTTCTCTTCTATTAACATTTGTATCTTAAAAAAAGCTTCTACTCCAGCTTTTCTTGGGCACTTCCCACTCCCACTTCATACCTTTATTTTAGAGTTTTAAAAAATGGACATGAAACACGATTAGTTCATATTTACTGAACATTCACTCAATGCATAGCGTGGTTCATGGGGAAAAACAGCCATTATAACATTCTACTGTTAAAATACTGCAAGTGACTTCTAAGTCTTCCCTCCCTCCCTCCCCTCCTATTCATTTTGAAATTCCCTCAGTCCCATACTCATCATCAAATTGGTGGCCTGCTACTGAAAGTATAGGGTTTCTCAGTGTTTTTACCCCAAATATAGAGGGATTTTTAAATTTTATTTATTCATTTTTATACAGCAAGTTCTTATTTGTTGGCTATTTTATACATATCAGTGTATATATGTCAATCCCAATCTCCCAATTCATCTCACCACCAAATAGGGTTTTTGAGAGCACCATTCAATAATTTTCTAGGCATATGAGGGTTACTTCATAAATAACAGGGCTATTTCAATCCTGAGTATTGTAAAAACAAGAAAAGATTCTGCCTTTGCCCAATTAAGCTTTAAACTGTGATTAATTTGTATAATATTACAGGAAAACAGCATAGATAGGACAATAGCATTGGTTGCACCTGTAAAGGAAATGATATTTTTACAGGTGTTAACAGTGATCTGGGTAGTTGGATCATGAATGATTTTTAGTTTCACCTTTATATTCTTCTATATTTTTAGATTTTTGTCAAGGAGAATATATTTTGTAATTTACAAAAGTAAACCTTTTTAAGGGAAGTGTTTTATATGGAAATGAGCCCTAGATAAATAAAAGGGCAAATGCTATGTCTAAGTGCTCTTAAGTAGAAGAAATTAGGGAAAAAAATAAATGAGGAGACAAAATGAAGTTGTCACAAAAAAGAAGGAAATTTGGCAGAAGTATCAAGAAGAACAAAATTAAACATGAAATCATATTTGCGTATTGTAAAAATTAATCAGGTCATGAACAAATTTAACGGACACTATTATTCAAGCATGTTTTTAAAACTGTAATTTTTCTGATGGTAATTTGCATACCATAAAAAAATAGAAGTGAGAAATGGAATTTTGGAATAGAAAAGTATAATGAATCATTATTGTAAGTATCTATTTTTAATTTAGCACCAATCAGAAAAGGAGGGTAAAATGGGGCCTGCTGAAGACCTGAGAACTGAATGAAAATACCTGATTTATGATGATCCTGCCTAAGAAGTGTTTCCCTTCACTACACTTTGAAAATATTTACATTAACAAAATAAAATTAATTTTCATAGAATTGTGAACTTTTATTATGAATTTTACATTCACTTTTAACTACTAATCTCCTTTCAGGTCTCAGATAAGAGAGAGAAAGCTGTCAGAATTGAAAACACACACCTGAAAGGCATGATGGGAGATTTAGACCCTGGATGGTACATGGTAATATGCTGAAATCATTCAGTAACTTGAACAGAGAGATTACTTAGTTGGTCAGGATTTACCCAGACATTCTTTACTGAATGCTTCCCATACATGGCCTGACTCATGTGTCAACTTTCCCCTTGATGAAGCTGCTCCTGAAACTCCAGTCAGAATAAATCACTCCATCTACACTTGGTTTGTATTTTGGGTCCAACTTGTTTCATAGCTTATCACTTCCCCACTGGATGGTAAACAAAGACTGTGCCTCACTAATGTGTGTATCAAGAGTACCTCCCAGTGTCAGGAGTATAGACAGTGTTCAGTGAATGCTGGTTGAATAAAAAGGATGGATCAGTGAATGACTGAGGACTGACCGTGTGGTTTCAAGCAGTGTCTTTACAGGTTTACACAAGGCAACTTAAACAGGTTCTGTGCCTTTCATTTCAAATGTTTAATATAACAGTTGAGGGTTGGTTTTTTACATGTAAAATAGAAGAATTTTTATTTATTGAACTAATGAAATACCATTGTTACTTGTCTACCATTTATTTGCTCTGAGTGAAAATTCTGAGATAAAATAATTTTCTGCCATGCAGGGAATGGAGGGAGTATGGCAGGTGCTTAACCTGGCCTCACGTTCCTCAGCTGTAAAGTGAGGAAGTTGGATCGGGCATTTTCCAAGGTCCTTTCTTAAGCCAGGATACTGTATTTCTTTTTTTGTCAGTATTTTATTTTTGCTTTTTTAATTGAAGTATAGTTGATTTACAATATTATATAAGTTACAGGTATACTACATAGTGACTCACAATTTTAAAGGTTATACACTATTTATAGTTATTATAAAATATTGGCTATATTCCCTGTGTTATACAATATATCCTCATAGTTTATTTTATACATGATAGTTTGTACCTCTTAATCCCCTACCCCTATCTCTATATCTGTGAATCTCTTTCTTTTTTGTTATGTTCACCAGTTTGTTGTATTTTTTAGATTATACATATAAGTGATATCATACAGTATTTGTCTTTCTCTGACTTGTTTCACTTAGCATAATACCCTCCAAGTCCATCCATGTCGTTGCACATGGCAAAATTTCATTCTTTTTTATGGCTGAGTAGTATTCCATTGTGTGTGTGTGTGTGTGTGTGTGTGTGTGTGTGTGTGTGTGTACCACATCATCTTTATCCATTCATCTGTTGGTGGACACTTAGGTTGCTTCTGTATCTTGGCAATTGTAAATAATGCTGCTGTGAACATTGGGGTGCATATATCTTTTTGAATCAGTGTTTTTTGTTTTTCTCAGATACATACCCGTGAATGAAATTGCTGGGTCATATGGTATTTCTATTTTTAGTTTTCTGAAAAACCTCCATACTGTTTTCCACAGTGACTGCACCAATTTACATTCCCATCAACAGTGTGTGACAGTTCCCTTTTCTCCACATTCTCAACAACATTTGTTATTTGTGTTCTTTTTGATGAGAGCCATTCCGACAGGTGTGACGTGATACCTCATTGTGGTTTTAATTTGCATTTCTCTGATGATTAAGAATGTTGAGCATTTTTTCATGTGCCTGTTGGCCATCTGAATGTCCTCGTTGGAAAAATGTCTATTCAGTTCTTCTGCCTATTTTTTGATCAGGTTGTTTGCTTTTTTGATGTTGAGTGTATGAGCTGTTTTTGATATTAACCCTTATTGGTCATATCATTTGCAAATATTTTCTCCCATTCAGTAGGTTGTCTTCTCATTTTGTTGATGGTTTCCTTTGTTATGAAAAAGCTTTTAAGTTTAATTAGGTCTCATTTGGGTTTTTCTTTGCTTTTATTTCCTTTGCTTTAGGAGACAGATCCAAAAAAATATTGCTACAGTTTATGTCAAAGCGTGTTCTGCCTATGATGATACTATATTTCTGTGATAGTATGTGCTTGTTCTCCTAATAGTCTGTATTCTAGCATCATAGAATAGAAGCATTCTGCATTCTTCTTTGGGCCTTGTTATGGATCCTGTGATTGGAGTATAAATGGATAAAAAGTAAAGTATGTGTGATTTCCCTGTCTGTTACAGAAAATCTGTGTAACACAAGGACTTTTTTTTTTAAACTGGATACATGAAAAC